CTTATTTATTTTGCTTTCCTTAGTGCTGAGAAATATGGGGACACAGCTGATGAATGTGGTGAAGCGTTCTTCCTTTGCGGGAAAGCTTTGCTGGAGCTGGCCAGGTAAGAGATGAATCGTTTTGGCGTGCTTGTTCTTAAATGATTGGGTGGTGACGGTGGTTTGTATGTGTTCAGGATTGAGAATACAGTTCTAGGAAATGCACTTGAAGGTGTTCCTGAAGAGGATGGTGATGAAGAAGATAAGATTGACGGCAGCAGAATTGAGAGCGCCGACAACCTGGATGGTCAGTACCCAGTGTCTGTGAAGCTCAGCTCTTTTGGATTCTGGGGAAAACATCTTTGGCAGTTAATATGGTTTCTATTTCATTGCTCAAAAATCAATAGAATTTGTGATTGTGGGTGCTATGTAATGCCACAGTCTAGTTATATATTTATCGTGAGTAAATTTAGTCCAATATCAGTTTTTGTCTATTGTCTGAGAATGGTTTCTGCTAATTTTAGCCTTAATGTTGCATTTTTATCCATTTATGCCTGGGTAGTTTGCTTTAAAATCAGAAATAAAAAATCTTGGAATTTTTTGAGTGTTATGTATGCATAATATACCTTAATGAAGTGTTCATCTTGTGTTGATGGTGACTTTTTACTTGAGGGAAATTTGAAAGTCTTAAGTTCAAAGAATGTGGGTCACAGGGCAAAAACACGGTTGCTCTTGTTCTTGGTATCTATGAAAGTGTTCTTCAGAAGCAGGCGTTAATGGCTTGTAGGGTGTGAAGTTTGCCGTAAGGCTCTGTTTTGGGGTCACAGTTTGGTGCAATTTCAGTGCAGCAGGGAAATGGAATTTTTAGTTAACTGCAAATATGCAATTAGGAATGGTTTTAAGGCAATGAATCTGACGAGTCTGAACAGCAAACCTAAGACCCTTATTTGTATATTGTAAAATTCAGTGATTAATAACGCTTAATGAACTAAATTCTGTGTTCTTTATTACCTGGGTATAACAGATAATGGACTGCTCTCTCTCTCTCCGGTGTTGGTGTAATTTATCGGGAAACCATAATATTCCCAAACTGTGGATTTTGACTAACCAACGTTTAGCATAGTGTTCTCCGTGTTGAACAGCTAATTATGAATTTAGGTTCTGTCTGTCAAGGAATGTACTCATTTCATTGTGCATTACAAACCAAGAATGCGACCAAACGGCTCATGACAAGTGTTTACCGTTACATCTGTAATGGCTTTTGTATAGAATTAAGCCTCCCAACAGGAATGAAACTGGTTATCTAACCATGTGGCACATTCGGAATGTGTGTTGATCCCCTGCCCCACCCCAGTTGGCAGGAGCTGTGCCGTGGGTCTTATACCAAGTGTTTGCTCCCTGTTTTACGGCCGGCCAGAGAGAACCCGCGATGAGCTCCGTGTTCTTGTATATGATGCAATGGCTGAAAAAGACAGAACGGAAGGGAAAACGGAGCCTACAGAAGAGCAGGGAGTAGATGCTGCTGCAGAGGAAAGATCAGCAGGGAGGACTGCGAATGGCACGGAGGAGGGGTGTGTGTCCAGTGGGCTGGTTGAGAAGACTGAAAGTGGAGTAGTTGACACTGAAGCACAGGATCTAAAAGGAAGTGAGGTCAGTGCTGTGGAGGTGGAGACTTCTCCATTGTCAGCGGGAGCGGAAGAGGAAGAAGAGGAGGAGGCTCAAGGTATCAGTGTTTCAGCCAAGCCTTGTGCATGGAAGACACTGTCTAGTGGATGGTGGCACCTCCTGGGGGCTTGCAGTCTTGACAGGAATTCCTTTCTGTGGTTTTATCTGCACATTTTTGGGATGTTTACTTTGCTGGATCAGTAATGTAAGTCTGTTACACAAGGTCAAGTGTTTGGGTTTTGACTAGGCTGGTGTCGCAGACTCATCTCATTCACAGATTTTAGTAGAAACTACAGCTGCATAAGAGCGTCTTACAATAATTGTTGTATGTAAGGAGTGCTTTAATGGCTATTTTCAGAGGATGAGGATGGTGATGAAGAGGGGAGCACAGCTGATGCCAAGGTAAGGCTGGTTTGGAAACGTGATCAGCTTCCCTGCCGGTCACCCTGTTACATCAAGGTCTTCTGATTGTGTGGGCTGCATCATACTATTCCTCTTCTGCAGGAAAGTGAAGAAGAGGTTGGAAACTTGCAGCTGGCGTGGGAAATGCTGGAGGTGGCCAAGGTGATCTACAAAAGGTAGCATGAGTAGTGTTGCCACAAGTGGTATGACTGGTTTTGTATGTGTTTGTCAAAGAATGAGGAATGAGTCTCTCGAACTCAATTCTCCAGTCATGCGTTAAGTTGTAAACAATATGAAACTACAAATGTGTGTGTTTGTGTTTTTTTTTCCCCTCCCATCACTCACCTTGACTACAAAAGCATCTGTGACATCATTTAGCTTTTGGGTTGGTTGGCTTGTATATCAAATGACTGACACGGTGGCTTTTGCTTATGGAAATGTTACCACGTCCTGTAAAATTCTTCCTATTACTAAATAATCAGCGTTAAGTCCCTTTTCTTCCTGCATAAAGGAAGGAGGACAAAGAGGACCAGCTGAAGGCTGCACAGGCCTATCTGAAGCTGGGGGAAGTTGGAGTAGAATCAGGTAAAGGTGTTGGTGGACAGGTTAAATCTTGTATCTATGCTATATTGTAGACTTATCTGATCTGTGCTGCTTCACAGATTTGCTGTCTTGTGCTGCCTATAACGGTCTGGACATGACGGGTCGCGCCTGCTTCTCTTAGGTAACTATTCCCAGGCCCTGCAGGATTTCCAGCAGTGCCTGGAGCTGCAGCAGAAGTACCTGCCTCCGCACAGCCGCCTGTTGGCTGAGACGCACTATCAGCTGGGCGTGACCTTCAGCTACGCCTGCCAGTACCTTCAGGCTGTGCAGCACTTCAGCAGTTCCGTAAAGGTCATCGAGCATCGCATGGGTGAGGAAGCTCCCTGGGGAGTGGGCGTTTCCCAGCTACCCTAGTAAATCAGGGTGTTTTTCCGAGATGTGAACGATCTGAAGCTTGTT